TAGGTTCAGTTTCAGTTGCACCAGCAGAATGACCATTTTGAACACTAGAGCCAATAGCATTCTTCTTTTCAGTAGCTCCAACTCTGCTTCCCACAGGAGGAAGGCCAGGACCAAGAGATTTCCCAACTAGCTGGTTTGGGGGTCGTACTCCTTGATCATGATGAACCTACAGCAGATGCCAACAAATGGGAATCAGTTGTGCCATGGCTCTGAACTCCCATCCACGCAGGGGCAGCTGCTACAGAGTGCAATGTCTCTACAGCCTGCAATCCATTACATAACCCAGCTGAATGGAAATCAGATACACCAGTTGTATCTACCATATCACAAAATGAGTTACAACTTGAAGGGCGTGATGGGTGGCCTGGTAAGGATGCATTTCGATCCACTCCTCCCTATGATTACATGCTCATATTAGTGTAGGTATTAGAAACTTAATCTTAGAAATAACATCTAATGAGATGAGCAAGATGCTGATTTGCCAAAGCATAGGAGGGCAACTCAATTATAACCACTAACATTGAAATAAACTAAACAACATAAAGCCAAATCCACAAAGATGATATAAAACGTAGGACCCATATCGATTACCGGAACAATGTCAGCGAAACTCTTCCTCCTTGGACCTAGACCATTACCAGATAATCCAACAGAATCATCTGAGCCTCTACCAAACCATTCGACTGACATATTCCTGGAAAGAGTGCTTGTACTAGCATTCCTCATTTCCATTAGATCATTATCTGCTTGTTGCACAGAGAGTCCAGGCTGCATCACAAAGAGTTATGAGCTATCAGCACCATCCACCTTCTTCCTCCAGTTTTCAAAACTGCTAAAAGAAGACCCTCCTGCCTGAAACCTTTGTGCAACACGCCTAAGAGCGCAATTTAAGCACAAATTCTAAAAGCTTGAATTAATACAAGCAGATATGTTTTTTAATCTATACATTTGGTCCAATTTCCATTCAAGTACTTGTTGTAGTTCTAATTTTCATATTAGTTTTACTATGTATGATTAAACTATAAATTATTGTGTTTACCTTACTATCATCACCATCTTGAATTTCTTGATATAAATTATTATTTTGAGCAGAAGTGCATTACAACTCAATATATCCAAGAGGAGTTAAAACTTTTAATCCTCGAATCCTTGCTTGATATATCCTAGTGAAAAACATTTTGAGCTTTAGTTATAATATAACAAATAATTTAAAAACTAAAATAAAATTACCAAAATTACCAATTTATGTTTGAATGCAGACTAAACAAAATTGATTTAAACAAGATACTCGAAATCAAATTCCAATCATCATTTATCATTTTCTTTTAAAAGAGATGAGTTTGTCAGAACTTTAGTTACAAAATTTTGATTCGAAAAATAAATTTAGTAAATAAACAATGACTTATATGTTAAATTCAAATCCTTTTCTTTGATATAACACAATAAAAATAATTTCTAAATGAGGTCACACAGTGAGTATAACTTAATTTGAATCGACTCAAACCTCCAATCTTTTTGAGAAAATCTATGAATTTGATGCTAAAGAAGAAATCAGAAAACCACATCTAAAGGCATTTTCACAACCTGAGAAATACTTTCAAGAGGAAAAAAATAAAGACATATGTACAATCCGTTGAAGAGAGGTGTCGCCACTGTCAACAAATGTTTTATATACAAAAATATTCTTGAAACTTGCAACCCCATTCTCCTTGGACATTCTATTTCACACAATCTGTGGTCTGCTATTCTCGGTCTACTGGGACTCAAGAATGAATCAATCATCTCTGAACTCCTTGCATGGGAAGGCATTTATAGCAAAATGAAAAATATTAGACTCATCCCTCACACTACTTTTTAGGTCATTTGGAAAGAGAGAAACAACTATATTTTTGAAGGAAAAGAAATAGATTTTAGCAACGTCATAAATAATTGGTTTCACTATTTTAGCTCCATTGTCTTGGAACATAAAATTGACTACTATGACGATCTAGGATTCATTGTTGATATACTAATCGATATGTAAATTTTTTGTACAATGACAGATGCACCCTTGGCACCCTTACTTCAATACACATCTAACACTTTCATTTCAAAAAAAAAGAAAAACAATCCAATGAATACTTTCAAGAGGGAAAAAAATTACAAAGGTTGAAAGAAATAACATATGCTAATGATATGTACAGGAGAAACAAAGAATTCATTTGATGCCTGTGACTGTGATGTCCTCTTTTCCATAATACCAGATGCAAAAAAACAAACAGAAGAAATCCAATCCTCTGGATGGACACCACTGTTGTCCAACCATAAAGTTATGAACTCCAAACAGCTTCTTCAACTTGTGAGCACTGAATTCATGCTTCTAAGAATCCACTAGCCTAGTAACTTGTAATTATCACCCTCAATGAGCAATCGAACTAGTTTATCAGTGACCACCATTTTATCTTTTTTTTATTCTCTAACACTGGTAGTTCTGGATAGAATACGACATAAAGACGAAATCCCAATGATTTACACAAATAATATTTGGATATGTAATCTTTCAGTTTGGTACTTTGGATATGTTACAATGATTCATGCAAGGATTCATGGATGTAAAAGTTTTACCTCCTTCTGGATGTATTGAATTGTAATGCACTTCGGCCCAAAAGCTCAAGCAAATAACTGCACATGACACCAAAATTTCTATTTTTAGCATCTGTGCCAATGTAACAACATAATGATGCCTTCAATTTCCGTATGACAGCAGTCTGCAGTCTTTCTTAACTGTTTTAAATCAAGTTGGCAATATAAAAATGGAAATGATGGCCGCAAGAGTATCTGCAAACTTACGTCGTTCAGACTTCTGAACATGTGGAAGGGTCTCAATGTAACAAGTATCCTTAAAGGAAGTGATCACGAATACCTTAACGCCATACTGCAATTATTCCAGAGAAAAAGAATAAGTAATCTGTATAATCTCCCATGATATCATTTCGTGGCAGTAAACCAGAAATAAAAAAGCAGCTAGTGTGGTTTGCCAACAAACTTTTATCAGCATCTGTTAGCACCTCCATTGTGCATGTTGTTGCTTTGTTCATTTATAATCTCATTATAGCGATTACGTAAGTGAACAAATGAATTGTTCTTCAAGACACTCAACCCCAAGCTTATGGATGAGATGAATATTTATATATTAAGAATGAAAAATATCTTAGTAACTTCTCTCTTTAGAACAAGTTTTCTCACTAAGGAATAAAAGATTAGAAAAGTAATAAATTCAAGGAGATACTTTGCTTTAGCAGAAAAAAAAGGAAAAAGTCTCTCTACTCGGCTAAAATAAAGGAGTTCTCTCGTTATCTTTCCTTTTTTTTGGCGAAGAAATGATAAGAAATAAAGACATCTCAAATTATCTTCGGAAACAGTTACTATTATGCTACCGTCATCTTATCTAATCCTTAAAGCAAATAAGCTTTCATGAAAATGAATTTTTACATAACAGATCAGTTCAATAAAACATATATCAACTAATACATGGTGCAAGGTAATGAAAAGTAGACAGGGTATATCGTGGCACACACCCAATCTGCAGCTGCCTGCAAAGTGACATGGTCACCCCATTCACCAGTCCCTATTTCATCCACATAAAATAGGAATATAAACGTGAGAAATAAGCTAACATTTGGTTTTTTTAAAAAAAGAATAAAGTGCAAGAGAACAAAAAAGTAGAATGAGAAAATACTTGCTCATTTTCTTCAAATAGTCACCATATTTCATAGGAGCATAAGCCCCATACGTTTCAGGATAGGATTTGAGCTGATTACATCAAAACATTTGACAGAAAGAAGCATCAATCAAATATGTTAACAAAACAAAATATTGCAAAATTCCTATAAGGAAATAAGCTTATTGCCCAAATCGCGACCTACCTGGTTAACAACCTGCTGTCTTACAAACTTATGGTGATTGGGAGAATGATAGAGTTGATCCGATAAGGATCGAAACTGCAAAACACAATAATAAGGAGGTTCTACATAAATTATAAATGAAGCACAACTGGATCAACTTAAAGTCTTGCAGTTGCAATAGGAAAAGGGGAAATAAAATAATACTATTACTCTATTAAAGAAATTTCTTGAAAAAGAGAACTGCTAAATTCTGTTAAGCAATTAGTCAGATGATTAAGATGCCCCAATTGACATGGCTGAGCATTCCAAAACATAAATTATCAATAAGGAACATTTGAAACAGTTGAGAGAAATCAATGAACGTGTTGCCATAGTTAATTGTGCCAGAATCAGAA